GAAGAAGAGTGCTAGGCAGCCTGGGGGTGTAGCAGGTCTGTGGGAAACCACTTGCTGAGCATATGTGAGGCTCTGGAGTCAATCTCCAGCACAAGCAAGGAAGAAAGAGAGGCGGGTAGAGGAGGACACTGCTAACTAAGCATTAAATGCAAACAATTATCTTGAATGCAACTAGAGAAAACAAATGCAATACTTACAGGAAAATGATTCAAATAACCATGGATTTCTCATCAAAAACCACAGAGGCCAGAAGGCAATGTCAACAGAGTTCTATGTGCAGCAAAAATATCCTTCAAAATGAAGGCAAAGCAACAACAAAAAGGATATTCTCAGATGAAGGAAAACAAAGAAAATTAATCACAAATACACCTGATCTAAAAGAAATATTAAAAGCAAGTTCTTCAGATTAAATGGGAAATGATACTACAAGAAAACTCAAAGCTTAAGAGCAAAAGAAATGCTAGACATCTATCTTAGGTAAACAATCTTGGAACTACCTATGACTACAGAAAGCAAAATTAATAGTATCTAAGTGCCAATGTGCCGGCCTCACAAGCACAACGTCCTAAATTCAATTAAAAAAAACTTAATAGGGCTGGGGATTTAGCTCAATGGTTCTGCCGCCTGCCTCTCAGGCACAAGGACCTGAGTTCGGTCCCCATACTAAAAAAACCCAAAACTTAATAGCATCTAATGAAGTGAGAGTAACATAAATGTAACACATAACATAAAGAATAAAGAGACCTATATGGTTGTAACACCTATTTTCTTAAAGGTGGTAAAACAACTCTAAGACTGAAAAGTTCTGGGTATTTATTACAATTTCCTGAAGAACTGCTAAAACAAACACATATACAGTTAAAACCCAATAAACAGTGGGGCCCAGTGGCATATGACTGAAACTGTAGCACATGGGGAAGCTAAGACAGAAAGATCACAAGTCCCACTTGGGTAACTAAGCGAGGCCATCTAAAAGTACTGTATGTAGTGTAAAGAAAGCACTACAAAACACCAAATAATTCAAAAGCAGGTAACAGGGGACAGCAAAATGGAAAAAAACAGAAAAATAAAATGGGAAAATAATTCTAATCACGCCAATAATAATCAGACTGGATTTTTAAAAAACAAACTGCATGTTATCTACATCAGAAGCTGCTTTAAGGGCTGGAGATTTAGCTCAGCAGTTCTGCTGCCTGCCTCAAAAGCACAAGGTCCTGAGTTCGATCCCCAGTACCAAAAAACAACAACAATAACTTTATAAACAATAACATGCTTTAGCCAGGCGTGTTGTCCCAAGTTCAAGGCCAGCCCAAGCTACACAAAAAGATACTGTCTCAAACCTCTTCCTTCCAAGAGGGCAAAAGAAAATCTACAGTACTTTAAAGACACAGATATGTTAAACACTAATAAAAAGTGGTCCTATTGGGCCAGGGATTTGGCTCAGTGGTGCTGAGCATGACAAGGTCCTCAGTTTGATTCCCAGTACCAAAAAAAAGTGGTCCTATTAATACAGTATTAGACAAAGTAGATTTCAAAACAAAGAATGTTACCAGGGATTAAGATGGTCATTACATAATGCTAATAATACACTCCTGCCAACAAATATTCTAAATACATGAAGCAAAATTAAGAGAACTAAAAGAATAATAGATAAGTATATAATTGTGCATGGAGATTTCAATAATCAAAAATAAGTACATAGAAAAAAATAAGGATATAGAAGACCTAAACATTCTTCTTTTTCCTGTATTTGAATTCAGGGAGTCATAAATGTCAGGCAAGCGCTCTACCACTCAGTTACATCCCTATCCCTGAACAACATTATTAACCACTGATCTAAATGACATTTACAGAATACCCCAAAACAGCAGAAAATATTTAAACATACATACTCTTCAAGCAAGCATGGAATATTCATATATGCCAAACAGACTGTATCCTGAGTCATAAAATGCTTTAAAAAATATATATATAGGGCTGGGGATTTAGCTCAGTGGTTCTGCTGCCTGCCTCGCAAGTGCAAGGTCCCAAG